AAAAAAAAAAAAAAAAAAGAGGGAGGAAGGGGACATACAGCAAGGAAAGTAGTAGGAGTCAGGAGGCCTCTAGAAGGCAAGGAAACGGATTCTGTCCTAGAGCCTCCAAGAAAGGAAGGCAGCTTGATTTCAGAATTTCCAGCCTCCAGACTGTAAGATAAATTTGTGTTGTTTTTAAGCCACTAAACTGCTGGTAACTAGTTACAGACCAGCAATAGAAAACGAATACAGGTGGAGAAATAATAATAATAATAAATACACTGGTTATTTGTTATTCCTCTTAGATAAACCTCTTAAATTCATTGGGCAATATAATCTAGGATTCCAGATCTTGCCCCAGACATTGGTCTCATGAGCTTCCAGTATGAAATGCTTACGCTTGTTCCTCCGTTAGGTCCATGGGGATGTGTTTTCAACATAGTTCAAAAAGTTGATTGTGCTACACCACTTTTTCAGATTTGGGAGGGATTTTTTTCCTTACCATTCAGTGACCGAAGCTTTTGTATTCTCCCACAAAAGTGCCGTATTTTGGCACTGTTGATTCAGCAATTTTTCTCGGCCGTCTCTGAACTGCGGAAGAGAATTGACCATTTCTTGCAAGCATTTCTTCTCTTCTTCATATTCATCTAGATCCTTATCCAGTTTCATTAGTGCTTTTTTCCTTGATTACGAAAGAGAGAAGTTTGATAACCGATGATTGGCCACTCTGATTCAACACAAATAAGGGCAATTTGGGGGAGGCACTCTCACTGTAATTTGCCCTCAAACTATTATGCCAAAATTACGCACTCTTATTAGACAGTTCGCAGGCTCTTTGCATTTCCAGAATACTAATTCGGTATTTTAAACATAATAAATATACAAAACCATAAGCAGTGACATTTTTCTGTGGTGAACACACTTGTAAAGAAGGTAGATATGCACCTGAGAGAAACCAGACAAAGAATATGAGTGGGTGCGAACGGGAAAGAGAGTGTGACATGGAGAAAGGACAAGAGACAGGTGAACGTGCCCTGCAAGCTCCTAAGGAAGAGCAGAGGAAGCCGAGGAGAAAGGAACGTGCAAGGAAATGTTGCATTTCTACCTTGTGTACAAAAAGCTCTTCCCCATCAAAAAGGATTCATTTGACCTAAGGGTTTTAATCTGCAAACTAACCCTGGAAGGGTTAACTCCATTCACCCAGGTCTAAATTGCTTTTCTCAGGTACTCACTTCTCTACCTCCTTTCTTCCAATTCTCTCTGGAATCCACTCCCATAAGGATTTCACTCTCCACCCACTCCTCCAAAACTGCTTGCCAAGATCTTGGGTAACCTCCATGTTGCTAAACCCATGTTCCATTCTCAACCTTTGCTTCCTTCACGGGTCAGCAGCATTTGACACAGCTGACCACTTCTCCTTGTTGAAAGGTCTTCTCACTTGACCCCAGGACTCTCTTGATTTCCCTTCTCCTATACTGGCCACTCTTTCTTGGTTTCGTTCCCTGGTTCCTCCTCATCTCCCTGATCTCTTAACATGGAGTGCCTGGAGTAAACAGCTTGGACCTCTTCCCTTGTCTGTCTGACCTCCCTCCGCGGGCAATGTCACCCATCTCACGACTCTACACGGCATTCTAAATGCTCAGCCCCCTCTCCTGACTCCATCTGTCGTTAAGAGTCTTGTTGATATTCGTATTTGAACGTCAAATAAGTATTTTGAACCTATCATTTCTAAAACTGAGCACACTTGATCAGTACCTGATAAACTTCATTCTTTCTCATCTCAGTTAATGGTAACTCCATTCTTCTAGTTGCTCAAGTCAAAGCTTGGAATCATTCTCAACTCCAATCTTTCTTATAAGCTATGTACGATGTGTACATATAACCTATATAACTGTGGACTCTATCTTAAGAATTTATCCAGAATCTTAGCCCTTTTTGCCACCTCACCACTGGTCCATGCTACCATCATCCCTCACCTGGATCACTACCATAGGTGAACCTAGACTTCCTGTATCTTCCCTTGACTCTTACACCGTTCTCAACACTTGGGCCAGAGAGAGCCTGTTACAGTGAAAACCAAATCATTTCCATTTGCTCGGACCCCTCCAATGACTTCCCATGTTACTCAAAGAAAAAGCCAAAGCTATCTCATGGCCCACAGGTTACCTGAGCTAAGCCCCATCCCACCCGTTCTGATCCCCTTTCATACTTCTTCCCCTCACTGTTGACCTTCCCAACTCCTTGCCTCTCCTCAAACATGCCAGGCTCATTCTCACACCTACTGCTCCCTCGGCCTGGAAGGCTCTTCCTCCCAGGAGTCACCGGGCCAGCTCTCTCATCCATCCCATCTGACTCAAAAGTTACTTTCTCAGTAAAACTCTTGATGACCCTTTTTGAATTACAACCCCCTCCGCCGTCCTTGTTCGATTTTTCTTCATAGCTTTTATCACTATCAAACATATTGAATATCTTACTCCTCTCACTAGATAAGACTCCATCAGGAACAAGAGCTTTTGTCTTTTGTGCTAACTCCTCTATCCGCAGTACCTAAAATAGTACCCGGCACACAACACGTATTTGTTGTATTGGTAGCTAAATTAAAAATTAAAGCAATTTGGGGCGCCTGGGTCGCTCAGTCGGTTGAGCGTCCGACTTCGGCTCAGGTCATGATCTCGCGGCTTGTGGGTTCGAGCCCCGCGTCGGGCTCTGTGCTGACAGCTCAGAGCCTGGAGCCTGTTTCGGGTTCTGTGTCTCCCTCTGTCTCTCTGACCCTCCCCCGTTCATCCTCTGTCTCTCTCTGTCTCAAAAGTAAATAAACGTTAAAAAAAAAAAATTAAAAAAAAAATTAAAGCAATTTATTGTTTATCGATGTATAGTTTTTCATGTATAAATTAACATGGAACTTATTTATTACTTATTATTTATGAATAAAGAATAAATATTTATTAACAATAAATAACACATTAGTAATTAGTTCAACACCTCACTAAGAACTGGGCACTGTAGGAATAAAAGTCTCATTGAGACCGTTAGCACAGGACAGTTTCAGAGGGAAGAGCTTGGTCAACTGAAGAGTCTCAAGAGAGCACTGAGCCTGAGGGACTTGGTGGGCAGAGGAGACAGGATGTGGGAAAGATTTAGAAAGGGGCGGAGACTGCCACAGAAGTAACCTGCTAGCATTATCACTTGCGGGACCTGGAGGCTGGCTCGGAACACGAGAGTTAAAATCACAGCACTCGTACAAAGCCTGCCTGCCTCAGTTTACCAGGCAATTCTGCTCAGTCTCCAGAATCAAAACTAACCTTGGCTGACCTCTTGCATCCAGTCCCATGCCGTCCCACTCTGTCCCCATCCCCATCCTGCTGGGAGGAGAGCAGGAGACCAAATAATTCAGCAACAAGTAGAGACACGGTGTAGCATGCGTATCCTTTACCACTTCTATCTTTCTTTAGTACCCCGTGTGTGGAGTTTTTTAGGTCTTCTCTCCTCATGAGAACCCCGTAATAAAGACCAGAGCGCTAAAGGGACTTTGAAGGAACTCAAGTACTTTACATGCATCTTATTTCATTACTCCTTTGTCCATGAAATGTACACTTTAGGGAGAAAAAAAGTCATATAACATTTTGTAAAGGCACACTGTCAACAAAAGGGAAGCTTGTTTGAAGTGCCTACAGAAAAGCATGCTGAACACTGAATAGAGCAGGATGGAACAGAAGTAGAAAGACACAGAAAGAATTTCCTTCACCTAAGACATACTGAAAATACAGAGGAGTATCATCCCGCATGGGGACATCGACGGACATGAGACTTACCGTTGTTTCACAGCTGGAGCAGTGGGATCCTTAAGACTGATTTTACTGATTTGATTGCACACATCTTGAATATTTTTCAGGAGGTCATTATTTTTGAAAGTACAAATCTCTAGTAACTTGTCTTCAGTGAACTCCTCCTGCACGCCATAGCCATGTGTCTCAAATAACTTTTTGGACAAAGCATCAACAAGTTTTTCACAGGTGTCGTCACCCCATTCAGCATCTTTAAAGCTTATACCAAGCATCTTCAAACGTTCATCCAAATGTCTGGCCTTGTCCTTCATCAGATTGGTTTCTCCTTCTTTATTTTCTATTGTCAAAGTGTTTTCTGGTACCACCTGTGTATCTGAGGCTGACAGGTCTGTAACAAGCTCAAAAGGGAGTTCAGCTGTTTTCAGAGAAGCCAGAAAGTCCTCCAGAGCTTTGAGGGCATCTTTACAACTCTGTACCTTGTGGTTCGTTTCATCAAGTTGTGTTCTGTGTTTCAGTATAATATTCTTTGTTGCATGGAGATCCAGTGGGTGTAATTCTTTCAATGCAAAGTCGCCCCACTGTTCCAAATTATTACATATTTCAATCTGTTTTATGATGGAATCTTGGATATTCTAAAATAAAGTAAGAAATGCCCAAAAGACTGAGGCAGAGAAAAAGAGAGACTGCCCATCAGCAATGCACCTAAACTCCCAATGACTAGATTGCATCTGGAAAACCACTTCCTGGGTCTGCCAAGTCGGACAGCGTCCACAGAAGGAAACATTTTAATCACAAACAATCAGAGCCCATCTGTTTCATGATCTGATAACCTTTCTGATGTTTCAATCCCCAAAAGAAAACAAGTATATAAATCTACGGCTCCAGTGAAAATAGAGATTAAACTGTAGCGACATCTGTTTATAATCTGAAACATCAAACTTAAATATTTTTTATTTCAAATGAGGCCTGGAATAAGTAAACTGTAGAAAATGCACATGAGTCTAATACAATACTTAGGATTTCAGTCATTGGAGAACATATTCATAAGCAGACCTTCATTTTGAATTCAAAGAAAATACCTAATTACTAACTTCACTGTACCTATTTTCAAATTTGTGAGGAATAAAGAGATGAGAAATAAATCAGTCTAAATTATTGAAGACTTTCTGCCATTACTTATCGTCTAACTATATACTATTGACGTATAATTAAAAATCTCTGAAGAATTGATTTATTCTATGAGTGCCTGGGAAAACTTATATTTACCCTCAGGTTTTGATAAATGCCATCAGCATCAATGAGATGAAATTCTTGAATGGCCATTTCATGGAGGAGCAGGTCTGAGCCACAGAGGAGAAGTGATTCCTTCTCCACAGGTAACACAATCTTCAGCGCAGTCTCCAAAGATTCCATTCTGGGTGAAAAATAAACCCAGACATAATGGAAAAAGGCACCATAAATGTAGTCTATAAAACATATTAATGCCATTGTTTAACTACAAACAAAAAATAATTACCCAATAAGAATACATACAATGATATGTGCAGATTATCACATTAAAACCCAAACCCAGGAAAAACAACAAAAAACACACAAAAAAACCCAAATCCAGCGATCCAAAATGCCAAAGAATGAGTTGTTTGCTATATCCACATATTCATAATAGCTTAACAGAAACCACACTGAATGGAAAATTGTTGTAAAACATACTGAGCCTTTCCTAACCTTTTGAAGTGCAAAATGGTGAATGTAATTTAACTTTGCCTTGGATGACAAAGAAATGTCATTATAAACACTAATTATTTTATTAGTGAAAATATAACAGAATTCAAAGAAATGGGCTCTACTAATGTGGGAATGAAATGTGTGACCTTTGACGAATAACATGACTGTGAACCTCAGTTTTCTCCTATGTAAAAGTGGGGATATGTCCTGGGGAAACACATCCTATGTATAGGGGATAATAACAGCACTCTCACTTTGGAAATGGGAAAATCAAGATTCAGAGAAGTTATGTGACATGGCCAAATTCATGCCCAAGGGCAGATCAGGGGGAAGAGCACGGCCTTTGGAACTCAACAGAGTGCAAATTCCACCTAAATGTCTGGCCAGTGGGGAGGCTTGGTTAGGTTATGTAACCTCCCTGAGTATCAGTTTCCTCATCAGTAAAATGGCCCTCAAGTTAGCAACCAAATAAAATACTTAATATAGTACTAGCCTAGCTTAAAATAGCATTAAAATTTCATAAATTTAGTAAATGCAGCGTTAACAGATCTCAGAATTATACCTGGTATTAAGAGTCATCTGAAACTCTCTTTCTTTTTCTTTTAATCTGTCTCTTGCCTCGCGTATAAAGGGCTTCTTTACGTCACTCTCAAGCTCTTCTAACCTCAGTGAAGTGATTTCAAACTCCTTCCAGCAGGAATCAGTTTCATTTTCTAAGACCTAGATGAAACACATAAAGTAATCTATCAACTAGGGGGTTAACAGGCACGATTATTTTGTTCTAACAAAATGAGGCATTCGCCAACTATGAACACGAAGTTTCATATGAAAATACACTAAAATTATTTTTGTATCTAATTTCATTAATGAAATTAATTAATTAATTTTAATTTTAAATAAGTCTTACAAATATTTTTCAACCATCTACGAGTAAAGTATCCTTCAGGGAACAATGATCTTAACTGTGCTCTCAGTTAGAAGACCCATTCAGTGAAGTCAAGGGAGTCAACAATGAAGGAACCCACACTTCCTTCCCATAAGTCAGTGCAGAGAATACAATTCAGAAAGATAAGATACATGTAGGGTCGCCTGGGTGGCTGAGGCGGTTAAGCGTTGGACTCTTGATTTCGGCTCAGGTCATGATTTCATGGGATCAAGTCCCTACTCAAGATTCTCTCTCTCTCTCTCTCTCTGCCTCTCCCCCACTTATGATCGCTCTCTCTCAAAACAAATAAACTTAAAAAAAGGAAAGATACATGTAATATAAGAACAGATATTCTAGTTCCTCTAGATAATAAATCTTTGTTTCTCCCTAAACTAAAAACTAGAGTGAATTAAACTGTTTCTATCAAATAAGAAGCGAATGAAATTATAATTTATAATTAAACATGTAAAAATTCTATTCTATTCCAGCTCCTTACCTTGTTAGGTTTTTTTTTTTTTTTTTTTTTTTTTTTTTTTTTTAAGGCACTACCACACAATTTTACTGAGTGCTGATCATTATAATTTGTTCACTTTCCCCAAGGATTAGTATAGCTTTTATGACCAACTCATTATTCAGTTACTGGAGTAAGGTCTCAAGACAGTTTCTTAATTGTGATGAAAACGTGCTAAATCACTTGAACAACAGAGATTTTAACATATTCATTCTGCTTACTCAGATGGAAAATAGAGAAAAGCCAGATGGTAGAGTGTGACTCAGAAACTGGCATTATAAAAGGAAGATAACTATAAAATATGGGAGGGCGCTGTAGGCTCTCCCATGGCCCTTTTCTCCACCTGATGGGTTTTCTGTGAGGGTTCGTTCTAATGTACGTCCAAGTATACAACAGTGTTGCCCTGCATTGCACAGATCGTCTTCAAAGTAAGGAAGATCTTCATTGGTAGGGCCTACAACTTGTGTGCCCAACATTAGACAGTTTTTTTCTCTGTAGCTCCTGAGCCAAATGCAATACTTCTTCTGATGGCTCTCCACAAGAGTATCCATCAGAGTGAAAGATCCTTCCACTGCCTGCCCCTTTGTTATTGCCCAGCATGAGACACACAAGGTGACAATTTGTCAGGATGACTGGTTTTTCACGTATTGTTAATTTTATAGCCGCACAGTTGGGCTGTTGGGTGAAACTGCCTTCAAACATAGTGCTTGGACCAATTCTTTTGAAGTCCTCATTCCTATCCTATACACAACCCAAAACTCTGCAAGCCACCATATCTGGAGTACCAAATCAGAGCAGGAGCAATAAATTAGGACCCTGAACCAAAGTCTTTCCTGGGTTTGGTACTTGAAGGCAAATCACTTTCTAGAATAGAATGACATTGGAAATGTAATCCAACAAAGAGAGTTCTTCGGAAACATCTAGCGTACGTGACCTCAGCAAAGGTAGTGAATTCTATACTCACGGTGGTATTGTTTTCTAATAAAACATAAAACTCCTCTAATAATATTTTTAGTAAATTACCTGTAGATCTGTCAGTTTAGCCTGAAGACATGCACTACTCCTTACTATGTCACTGGAGAAATCAGAAATAATTCTGAATTTGTTGTTTTGCAGGCACAGCTCAAGATTTTCTCTGTGTGTATCATACCTGGGGAAAAATTAAATGCGATGCTACTTAACTTTAATAAGAAGACAGTTGTTTTTTTTTTAAATTACTGTCAATTATACGTGAGGAAATCTCAGGAATTTCTGCTTAAGTTACTGGACTACATGCAAAAATTATGACCAATGGGTTATACACATGTATTAAAGTATAACATGTTTGTATTAATGAAAGATTTTGGGTGGATCTTCCAGTTATTTAAAAGTTACCTCTCTTGTAAACTACGGACAGATGCATCGTGACCCTTCTCATACTTCTCCATAACGCTTTCTTCCTGTTGAGGCTTTAACTCGGATTCCAGGCTAAAATTCTTAATTGATCCCACTGCCTAAGCAAATATGCAAAATAGCAAACATAATATCTTCAATATACTTAATCGCCTGGAAAAGATAAACATTTTATAGTACAAAGGGATATCACTAATTCTTTATACCCTCACCCAGGAGATAATAAAATTTATTTGAAGCTTCTCAGGTCAGAGAAAGGCCTTCCCCTAGGACAGAAGAGATTTATTACACGGAGTCTCACCTTCTAATCGGTATATCAGCACAGAAAAGGTGTTCTCCCAGCCCCTAAACCCCTAAATACTGTCTCTGCCTACGACCGCATAGCCATAGTCAAAAGCCTTCGGAAGCCTAGCGTGCAGGCCAGACCTCTGATTTCAAATACACCTGGTTCCTTCCCCACAGCTTCAGACTAGCAGGCTGGGCTATGACCCACAGTCCATGGCCACTTACCTAAAATTCAAGAATTCAGAAAATTCAATCCCCAAGGGGAGCAAACGACAACGTACTGAGAAAAAGGCAAATAATAAGTGAACTAGCTCATCTCCATGCAGCTGAGGCATCCGTACAGATGAAACTCAACCTCTCATACCCCTGAATAGGAACGTGCACAGACTACGTGTAATCGTAATGTCTGCAAATGATCTCTTTCTGAAAGAACTGTTGTATCCTCAGGAGAAGAAAACGTTACGCTCGCTATAGCTTTGGTTCACTGTGTTGTAATTCTCTGAAAGGGAGTCTTTCTTGCATTACTTCCTCAGCTGATGAAAATAATGAGATAATTAAAGCTAGCAATTAATGAGAAGCGGATTGTTGTGCGCTTGGCTTTTTTCACTGGGTTTACTTCTAAAATACATTATCCGCATGTGACACCTGTTCAGCTGATGGCTGATTATCTGAGTTTGCAGATGGCACCTCGCTGTGGGCATTCCTTCCTCCATTCTCAGATGTGCTCATGGGCTCCCTAGGAAGGAATCAAAATTGCACGTTAAAACAGAGGCAGAAACAGGAAGTCTAAAAGAGAATAAATAACACTCCTTGTCATTCGATCTTGCAAGGGGCTTTCTCTTGTTTTCCCCTGATGTGTAGTTAATCTTATGAAGCACTCACTTGTTTTTCGACACGCCTCCCACCGCGGGCTGCAGCGCCCCATGAATCTCGGAAGCACATTTCCGAAGTCTTTCTATCTTCTGTTCATAATCTTTGAGGGCCCTCCTCACTTCTTGTTGACTCTTCTGTGAAGTCAGCTCTTCACACAGCTCCCGCAGGACGTCCATGTGGTGATGGAGCTGGTACAGACCGCCTTCCTCAGAAAAGCAGGCCTGATTGAGGAAATAAAGCAGGCAATGTGTTTCAAAGGAGTTTGCGTGATTAGTCCGTAAGGATTAGAAACTAACAGATGTGTGTGACTTTAACAACATAATCTTTTATAGGCCATCCGCTGTGCGCCCGGTGTGGTAATGGGCACTGGAGAAACAAAGATGAGGAAGTCAGTAATGCAGTGAATGAAACCAGAATATGTCACCCCAAAATATGCCTCCTTTTTTTTAAAGTCATCTCTACACCCAACGTGGGACTCAAACTCACGACCTCGAGATCAAGAGGCACACGCTCTACTGAGCCAGCCAGACGCCGCCAAAAATATGCCTCTTTGGTGCGAAAATTATTTTGAGCTAAAGGCAATTAAGAAGCAGCAAACACAGAAAAAGCTCCCTGCTTTCTGCCTACAGGCAGGAAATAAAGTCTCTTTTTATTAGCGATAGACTCTCATCAGCCCAGAGACAGTACCGGAGAAATCTGCAAACAAACCTTGTTAAACTAACCCTTATCTTTGCCTTGCCAATTCTTCACAAATGTATGGCTTCGTTGTCTACAAGGTATAAAAAAATTCCTTCTCTGGTCACTTCTTTGGGTCTTTACTCTTGTGAAGGCTCCCACGTGCATGTAAAAATTCAATAAAATATGTACGCTTTTCTCCTGTTCATCTGCCTTTGTCGGTTTCATTTTCAGGGACCCTCAGGAGTCAAAAAAATAATAACTTTTTTTCCTCCCCTCCAGTGGTCATACAAATAATGTGCGCATAGTGTGACAAGTGTTATGACAGGGTCACTGCCTGCCTTAAGGACTCCGAGAAAACCCACTCCACATGTGGGAGCCATCTGAGGGAGATGCGGCCAGAACAAGTCTGACTGCTCCGAGTCAGAGCCGAGAGAGGTCACTCCTACTAGAAGGAACAGCCAAGGGGAAGAAAGCTCCAGATGTTCTGAAAGAACAGCAGTCTAGTGTGGCTGGAGGGCACAGCGCGGGAGAAGGGACGCTGAAGTCACGTCTTGAGGCCAGACTGTGGCCCACCTGCGTGGTGTTCTAAGGGGCTTAGAGATATTCTGGGAGTAACAGTGAGGCAGTGACATAGGATTTGTGGTTCAAAGGGGTCTCTCCGTTGATGGGTCTGGAAGATGATGTGGCCATCATCGCATGGGGAAAATACCCCAGGTCAAGGGCAATGGCAACACCGTGGAAAAGAAGGAGAGGAAGCAGGTGTCCTGGAGAGTAACCCATGAGGCCTGGCAACTGACTCCATCACAGCTGAGCAGGAAGGAAAGGGGATGGGGAGGAAGGGAGTTCTCAGGCTGCAATGGCTTCATGACCAACAGATACAAAAGGGAGCAAAGTTTGAGGGAAGATATTATGGGCTAGTGTTGGACACGCTGAACTGGAGGTTTCTGAAGAACACTGGGACATGTACCACTCAGAAACAGAATCTGGACCTCAGAGGAAAGGACTCAGGTGGTGATAAAGATTTAGGCACTATCACTGCAGAGAGGGTTTTATCATTAAAGCCGCAAAGGGCAGAAAACCCCCTAGGGCAGGCATGAAACCAGCCAAAAATGGAGACTCTCAAAACTAAAACATTCAGATAACACAAGGGAAACAGAGAAATTTGTGGGGCCCCTGCCTGGCTCAGTTGGTAGACTGTGCGACTGTTGATCTCGGGTCATGAGTTCCAGCCCCACGTTGGGTATAAAGATTACTTTAAAAACGAGAGAGAAATTTGTGAATGACGCTAAAAAGAAGTTCCCCACTCCCCAAAAAATAATCAAATAAAGAAAAGCAAGAGAGGTTGATATTGGGAGAGCCACAGCAGTAAACAGTTTAAAGGAAAGAAGAAGAGTCAATACTGTCAAATAAATAGAAGCAATCATATAGGATGGGGGCCGGATGGAGCATGAGATTTGCCCCAGATGCTTATATCCTGATTTGCTATCTTTTCCAAAAGCAGCACTTCTGAGGACACCGTGTCCCCTCAAAATCAACTGTGGGTACTTGAGCAACAGGTGACACATTTGCAACCACAGTCTCAAGGGACAGGGGCCACTGAGCCATGGCAAGGGAAATCATGAAATAATAACTTGACGCTGAATTTTTCTCATGTCCCAAAAGCAAGAAACACAGGCTGCAGTTAGAACTCGAACCACGTAAGGGATAATCCCCAGGAAACGGACAAGAGGACTGACGTAATTTTCAGAGCAGGTTTAATCCGAGGTGAAGGACATACACAACCATGTAAGAGAAACTCCAAAATGATGACAACATATAAATGGAAAACAGGTGGTTTACCTCATGTTCCTTGATGAGACCCTTGGTCCTTCCTCTGCGAATTAGTTTCTTTTCTTTATTTATTTGTTTTTCAAGTTTTGAAATACTGTCACTGAGTTTTCCTTTTTCAATGTCTATTTTCAGTTGTTGAATATACAAAGACATCTCATGATGAAGAGACTGCAAAAAAAAACAAAAAAAAACAAAAGCCCACAAAGGCACATGTATTAGCTAACTATGGGAAAAGAATACATTGAAAAGATTTTCATCAAAAACCCAATAAGAATATTTGTAGTAACACAGGGTCGAAAGAGAGTTTAAACGACATTCTGATTCGTCTTTATGTCACTGGGAAGGATGTTTTAAAATATACCAGACCCAGAAACATATTTTCTTTTTCTTTCTAACAACTAAAACCATGTATTAGCTGTGAAAGATACCATTAAGAGAATGGAAAAGACAAGGCTGGAGACTAGAGAAAACATATACAAAACACATTCCAAGCCTATGGAGAAATAACACGGAACTAAAATGTACGTCCTGGATGGGACTCTGAAATAGAAAAAAAATGAGAGGAGGGAAACACGGTGGAAACATGCATAAAGTATAAACGTAAGGAAATAACGTACCATCGTTGGGCCATTAAGTGTGACAAAGATACCGTATTAATGTAAGATGATAATAATAAGGGATAATAATACTGGGCATGGGGTACACTGGAACTCTCTGTACTATCTTTGTAATAATTCAGTAAATCTAAAATTGCTCTAAAATTATAAATAAATAAATAAATAAATAAATAAATAAATAAATAAAATTGTTCTAAAATTTAGAAATTTATTTAACTTTTCATTTAATTTATTTATTTTAAATAAACGTCTATTTAAAAGCATGTTTTAAGGGGCGCCTGGGTGGCTCCGTCAGGTGAGCATCCAACTCTTGATTTCAGCTCAGGTCATGATCCCAGGGTCATGGGATCGAGCCCCACATCAGCCTCCACAATGGATGTGGAGCCTGCTTGAGATTCTCTCTCTCTCCCTCTGACCCTCTCCCCCACTCACACGCTCTCTCTCTCTAAAATAAAAAAAAAAAAAAGTTAAATAAAATACGTTTTAAGTGCCTTTAACAGTAGACATTCAATTATATTACCTTATTCTCTCTCTCCAGACACACACGCTGAATACAAATCACCGCTTATTGAACACAATCTCTGTGGTGGGGCTTTAGATAAATCCTTGCGATAATCCTGCCAAGTGGTTGCACACATCCCCATTTTATCAGATACGTTCCTAGAGGGTGAAACAACTTACCCAAGGTCATAGCTGCTGAATCGAGGTCTGTCTGCCATCAAAGTCTATGCCTATTTCACTAGGAAACTCTACATGTGCATATGTGTCTATATGTTGTCTCAGTCAGGATCCAACTAGGGACCCAGGAAACATTAAATATTTAACTCAGAGGGAATTAAATGCAGGGAACTAGTTACACACGAGATGAAAGATCAGAAAAGCCAAAAGGAGGACAGTAAGGCAATCCGGAGATGAACACTGGCAGAAGGCTGCTATACTGCTGGGCTGGAGGCTTCAGAGGAGCCCAGACAGAAGGGTCATCAGAATCTGGAACCATGGAACCCACAGCCACCAAAGACACTGTCCAAGAGAGGGACTTTGGACTCTCCCCTTTCCCCCCTCCAATCACCCGCTAATCTCCAAGCCGTGTTGTCATTGGCTGAACACAGAACCTGACTGGGCCCTGGGAATCTCACAGGATCAGCCCCCACTGTGATACCAAGTACACGGGGGATGGCCAGGAATGACTGATGACAAATGGGCCCAGGGTCAGATCTACAAGCAGAATCCCAGATACATGTGCATGTTCTTACCTCCCACTTGGCACAGACACGTCTACTCTCTTCTTCCAAAGACAGCTTTACACCCTCAGTTACATCATTTTTCAGTTCCTCAACAGCTTTCAAATACTTGACCAGACTTTTAGAATTTAGAATTATTAGTGCTTCCTAAAAAAGAGAACGTAAATGAGAACATGAAAGCCTCATTCTAGGGGTGCCTGGCTGGCTCAGTCAGCGGAGGGTGCGACTCTCGGGTCTTGGGGTTCTGCGTTTGGGCCCCCCACGTTGGGTATACAGATTGCTTAAGAAACAAAATCTTTAAAAAAAAAAAAAAGTCTCATTCTACTGCCAAGTCCTCAAAGCTAATTTTGGTAGGTCTTTCGGACGCAGAACTGGGAAAAGACTTTTTGGGGACTATGAAGATTTAGGGGAGACTTTTTGTAAAGTAAGGTTGATATCCCTTTTGCATCTCTTGAATAACTTTGAAAAGAACTGCAAAATATTTATTAATCAAATGTAGTCAGACATTTGAGCACCAGATAAAGACTTGCTTAGGATATTCAAAAGGACTTTTGTTACCCCTCTGATAAATCATTGAAAGGATTATTGTGCAGGGGAATGAGCCACTGGCACTGTTTCCTCTAAAGTTCCTAAGTACTAGTGAATAGAGGACCATCCTTCATTAACAATACAATACGAAGAATATACTAGCATGTATTAGAGATTAGTGTTGTAAGAAGACACAATTTATAGTAGGATTAATAGGCCAATATTTAATATTGTGCATAAGCATTTTTAGGCTGCAACAAATCAACATTACCTTATCATCAACTTCAAAGTTTTGCCCAGGGCCAACCACACTGGCAGTCCTGCCCCAGAGAGGGAGTAGCAGTGGACAGAGACGCGTCTGCTCCTTATCTCATGCTTACCTGCTCTTATAGACCTGGCAATTACCTGGCAGAAACCTAGTTTAATTAATTAGGAAATGACAGAACACAGAATAGTTTGGTGCTTGTGAAAGAGACAGAAAACCTACAGGAGACAGAAGACAAAAGTAACTTTAGGGAATAAGGCACTTAAGCACAGTGGGAATTCATTCATGCGCTCACGACATATTTATTACGGGCCTACTGTGGAAAAGGTACAAGGCTGAGCCCCAGGGCCTTCCTCCAAGCCTCTGTGAGGATTGCTGGATTTATTACCTGGGGAGACTCTCTAACCCTACATGCTGGCAGATGGCTCCCACCTCATGGGCCCCTGGAGTCCCAGGGGTCTCAGGGCAGGACGTGGCAGGGCAGAGATCTTGCTTCTACCATGAAAATGGCTCTACTTTACTAAATGCCAGAGATAAAAGGGGGGAAGTCTGTGGCCTCAGATTCCAAAACATAGACCCTCAGCGGGAGGAAAATGGCGCCAGACTGACCCCTCTAACCCCTCTCTCTGGGAGAGAAGGGGCCTTGAGCCTCCGTTTTGTCTCTTCCTTCTCTCTTTCCTGAGCTGACCATATCAGCACCAGGAAATCCAGCCTGGTGATTATTCATAAGAACCACTGACTCTTTAAGGTCAGTTCAGCACTCTCAGCAACCTAGGAATACAAGAGACAATAAAAGGCCGAGGGAGGGGCGCCTGGGTGGCTCAGTCGGTTGAGCATCCGACTTCGCTCAGGTCACGATCTCACGGTCCGTGAGTTCGAGCCCCGCATCAGGCTCTGTGCTGACAGCTCAGAGCCTGGAGCCTGCTTCAGATTCTGTGTCTCCCTCTCTCTCTGGCCCTCCCCCCGTTCATGCTCTGTCTCTCTCTGTCTCAAAAATAAACAAATGTTAAAAAAAAAAATTTAAAAAAAAAAAAAAAAAGGCCGAGGGAACTGGTCAAAGATGGTGGCTAGCAACATGCAAACAGAAATCGATCACGCAGGGGAGGTCTTTGGGGTCCTGGGAAAAGCAGTGTTGAGACGGCTGATAACAGGGCCGTGGTTGGGTTCACAATCCAGAAAGCCAGATGAGGACTGAGGCCCAGAAAAGAGAAGGAGGCCATGATGAGAATAAACAGGCTCCTTCTTCTAGAAGAGTGGGGCGGTCCCCCCAGAAGTCTAGCTCATGTTAAATGTCCAATAAGTGTGTGAAATATTGAATAAAGGAACGAAAGGACACATATCACTCTACCTCTCCAATGTGTCCAATGGTAGAGACCTTATCGTACTTTTACTTCATAGACCACCCAAGTGCCTCCCATCATGTTAATTAATAATGACTCTCGGGTTTGCACACATCTTGAGTCGTCTATCAAACCGGCAAAAGCAACCTGAAACTATCGCCACACAAAACAACATCACTGGATCTTTACCCATAAAATCACATATAACTTCTATCAAAGCATTTTAATGACAAAAGTGTGATTTTATATTCAGAGAACTTTACCTATTCCAGGGGCCTTCATGTGCCTTTTTTTAATTTAACGTCTCACAACAAATTTGGCAGCTGGAATTATGCCCATTTTACTAATTTAAAAAGCAAGAAAAATTAAACTCATGCTGAATATCGTACAATCAGTTGTGCTCGTGACACTATACCACTGAGTCCATTCGGCAGATCTATACTAAAGTTTAAATTGAAAAAATTCCTCACGTTCATGTATATTTTTAATAGTTTCTGGGAACAACATATAAAACTGGGAAATTCTTTAAAGTTACAGTAACTTTGTGCATGATTACGGTGACGGAATTATCTCGATTTCACATGAGGTAGGTAGCTGATAATAAATAGCCTACATTTGGGGGTGCCTGGGTGGCTCGGTGGGTTAAGTGTCCGACTTTGGCCCAGGTCATGATCTCACGGTCTGTGGGTTTGAGCCCCGCGTCAGGCTCTGTGCTGACGGCTCAGAGCCTGGAGCCTGCTTCAGATTCTGTGTCTCCCTCTCTCTCTGCACTTGCCCTACTCATGTCTCTGTCTCTTAAAAATGAATAAATGTTAAAAAAAACAAGAAGAGCCTACATTTGACGGTTGAGAGTCCCACCTTGTATTTTGAAATTAGTCCACTCCGGCTCTCTCTTTGTCCAAGTAATTGCTCAGCCCTTGTCATGTATGATTCAAGTTCCCTCTGGGACTCCTCCACTTTCAGCCTGACATCCAGATCTGGGGAAGCATCAGCTGAGTTTTTCAACACGGAAGCTAATTTCACCATACTGATCTGCAAAGACAAAAAATTCTCAACAGCTGGCCCAGCTTTTCGGTAAGTCACAAATTAACAAATACAGTCTTTGAGGAGTGACTCTTATTTTCCCACTAGACATAAGAATATCCTACTTATTATGTTGATATTTTTCAATGTGCTCTAAGTTGTTAAAATATACACATAAAACACAAAGGTAATATTTTAGAAAACGTTTCCAACTTAGAGGGCAATCCCTCCCTCTCTTCCCCATCCTCCTACTGACCACTCAGTTTTAAAGACTGGATTCACTTAATAGGAAATATTAAAGAGAGACCTGAACTTTCTCTTTAGCTTCTTGAATCTTTGTCTGAAGCCCAACTGTGAGAACATGTTGAAGGGACTCCTGGCTGGAAATATTCTGCACATCCATTTGTAAGGTATCTTCAATTCTAGACACAAGCTCTTCATACATAGAGCCTTTGGCAATAAGATGCTATGAAAACAAAGTGAGACCACAATAAATATTCAGGTTATATGTTAAACATTAACCTTAATCTGGTCAGGAAATCATGAAAAGTTAATTATTATTAATCCAAAGCGAGGTACATTTGTACTCTAAAAATGTTATTTTTAAACTTCATTAAAAAATTTTTATGTTAGTACAATGAGATTCTGAGAAACATAGTCTGTCATAGATTCTTTACACAGTAAGCACTTCAATAAAATAAAGCCTAGAAGTGATACAATGCCAGTAGTCAAATAAGTTGAGAGAGTAGTAATAAATCTTAAAGTGAAGTTGTTCTCTTTTTTTTAAATGTTTATTTATTTTGAGAGAGGGGGAGAGAGCACAAGCATGCGCACACACGCAAGGGCAGGGAGGGGCAGACAGAGAAGGAGACACAGAATCCAAAGCAGGTTCCAAAGCTGTCAAAGCAGAATCCAAAGCTGTCAGCACAGAGCCCGATGCAGGACTCGAACTCAAGAACTGCGAGATCATAACCTGAGGTGAAGTCGGACGCCCAACCGACTGAGCCATGCAGGCCCCCCAAAATGAAGTTGTTCTAAGTCAAATCGCTTGGAAGGAGATTCACTAAATGTTATTGGAGAAAAATGGCTATTGGAAAAGAAATTTATAACCATGCTTTATACAACACACTAAAAATAAATTTCAGTGGATCAGAAAGTTACATATAAAATAGAAAACTACAAAAAGAAATTATCCATGAAAAGTGATCTACCCTCTGGGTGTGAAGGGGGCTTTTTAGGGATAAGAGCAGGAATATCAATATAAAAATTTTCCATGTAAAATAAAATAAACAACTTAAAAAGTCAACAACTTGGTAAAAATATTTGCCACACAAATGAAAATGCATCGTGATTCAAAGAGCTCATAAATTCAATAAGAAAAGTACTAAGG